CCCAGGAACTCTGGATATCCAGAAGTGCCTCTAAGCAGGTTGCCAGTCAATAACAAAATATTGTCTTATTGGAGTGCCTGTACATTGCCCTTATCTCTTCTCCTCTGTTCTCATCCATTTGCCCATATCTAGTGTGCCTGCCTTTCCCTCTCTTTTACCCTGAAACCCAGCAATTCCATTCAACTGATTTTGAAAGAGAGTGTTTTTAATAGAGGCTGAGTGGCTTGAAAAGCAGACACTTGCAAGAGCTCCATGTTGTCTATTTGCATATGAATGGCAAGATTTAGGGGAGGATGTTATTCCTGTCTCACGGAAGGCACAGAAAGTCATTGGGACCCTAAAGATTAGGTGGGTGTATCTCTATACACTAAAAACCCAAGAGCACAGCCTGCCATCTAATTAACACCCTTGTGCTGGATGAGCCATATCCTCTGGCTCCAAAACACCAAAAATACCAAAATAGGACTGAAAACCATTTTTTCAGGAGGGAAAAATACCCACTATCTCTATAGTGTCATGTTGAAATCAGAGGCTGCAAAGCACTGCAGTCCCTGGCGGTGTGTGGGCTCCCTTGCCCATGGCCATCGCGTCAGAGAGCAGGTCCTGGCGCCGTGGGACCGTGCGGCTCCTGGTGATGGGCTAGAGTCCAACCCAAGGAATGTCTCGCTCCTTGAACCCGGATCCGGTGGTAGCAGCACAACAACCGCAGCCCTGCAAGGCCCCATGTCCCTGCACCTCTTCATTTATCTGCTTCTTCAAAGCCACTAGGTAGTTGTCCCTCATGCATGGGTTTCTCTCCATCTTGCCTTTCTCCCCTGACCTATTTTCTACACTGAACGAGCGATTTCACAGTCATTTATTTCTTACTGGCTCTATTGTCATCATCAAGTTCTGGCTTAGACTTTTTCACCTTACATCTATCCTTTGTCTTACGCGAGTTTCTCTTTCAAAACACCAGTGCAGGATTTGGAAAGGGAAGCGAGAACTCGCATGTGAAACGTGACTGCAACGAGCCATCGAAAGGTGCATCCATCTGGTTTTGTGAAGGAAATGATACCGCTTTTAAATTGCTGGTAAAGCCTTTGCATTGCCGCATGCATGGCCCAGCTCCCATTTCCCTCTGACTTCATTAGCGCCTGGCCAAATCCCAATTCCTTCTGAAAATAATTAATTGCAGAAAAATTATCCTTATTAGTGTTATTCAGCCCCAACTGAATTTACCACAAAAGCAATTACCAGAGAGCCACTGAATGATTTTCCTATTGAAAACAAGACTGGCTTCACCACAGACACAGGAGGGAACCCAGTGTTTCCCATGGCCCCGGAAAGCCAAGGAATTATTTCAGTCACAGAAGCCTATGTGCAAATTGGGTTCCTGCTTCTTCACCACACGTGCTGCTAGCCTCATTGCTTGGCCTGGGCCAAGCACCAGGTGGCATCATGTTGGGAACAAATTTCCTGAGAACGTTCCTGCCTCTGGTTGGGAATGTGGTGCTTGTCCCTGCTTCAGCAAGCTGAAAATTGGAAATAGCTCAGGAAAGCCACTCAACATTTACCACCTTTTCTCCAAGTCACCTTGTCACTAAGGAGGAGCGCAGTGTTTTGCCACGTGGACTTTCCCACAAAATGCATACGACCAAGTTCTTGCCTTCTCCCCTTGCAAAATCATGGAGAGCTCTGTAACAGCAGCATCCTCTGCATGGATTTGTCGTGACGTGTAACCAGCTTCCAACCTGGCTCCTTTGGGATATGGAAGGGATCCACCTCTGCAGGTCGGCCTGCACATAGACAGCTGGGCCTGGCCTGGATGGCTCTTCGTTTCCCAAAGATTTTAACTCTTATATAAAAGCAGTCAGAATTCAGCTCTTTTGTTCGCCTTTTAAAAATGCAAAAGCAAAATAAAAATGATCTAATGTAGGAAAATACAAATTGTCCAGCACAGTCCTTTAAATATAGCACTGTGATTTCTACTTTAATAAGGGAGGTTAGTTTCTTTGGTTCCTTGGAGGCTCTGGCTGACACATTCAAGTGCAGCAAGAGCCTTATTTTGTTTCTCATTGCTGCTTTCTTCTTGCTGTCCCAGGAGACCGAGAAAGGCAATCCTACCATGGATAATCTCTTCCTTTGCATCCAATTACAGTGCCAGATATTGAGATGCCATGATAGCAAACAGGGTAAATTTGCCTCGTGGACCGGACACGTAGTTTTCCATTGTGAACATTAATTGATGAATGTTGGGGACAGTATGACTGATTTCTACACAGCAGAAACAGAGACACCAAAGGGTTTATTTAGGACATATAATAATCCAAATGATGGAAATTTTACAGATGCCAGGATCTGTGTATCTTCCACATGAACCCATGCAAGTTTCCTGGTATTGGGAATGCTTTTGCTGAGTCAGCAATAAAAATAATAAATGGATTTTCCTAAAAGTCCTGGCACGGTCCCCTTCAGGTGCTAATGAAGGTGCTAGCGATGGAGCTGAGAGAAGCGGAGACTCTGAGGCCTGACACCCAGGAAGCCCCAGGCGGCCACCAGGCAGGCTGGCGCTGGACACGTCTCATGGGTGGCGCGTCCTTGCGTGGCCGTCCCCGCGCCGTCCCCACAAGCCAGGTGGCAGGATCCCAGCGGCCCCTCAGGAGGGGGAGATGGCCCTGCACAACCAGGAATGAGGGTGCCAGGAGCTCTAAATACTGAGGTGACTGCTCTGAGCAGCCCTCCCATGAACCCCCTCATACTCGCTGGGCTTTGCTACCCTCCTCTTCCTCCCTCCTCACCTTCCATCCCTGACCCTGCCACTCACTCTCCTCTTCCAGGGATCTGTTCCCCCAGAAATGGTAGACAGATAAAAATACTAGCAGCACTTGGGCGCAGAGCACCTTGACATTGCACCCATGTGCACTTGTTGTTCAGGCAGAGCAACTGGGCGACTCTGCCTTTTGTGTCCCCTGCTAAGTCACAGCTAAAATTAACATTAGAGTCTAGCAGGACTCTCAAAGGGCAAAACCAAACATGTCTTGGAGCTGGAAAATGTATTATATTCAAGGGGCTAGTCCAAGCACTTTCCAAAAACCACAGGGTACGTCTCCTTCCCATCCATAAAACTTCCCTGACAGCAGAGAGCAGAGCTGTGCTGCTGACATCCTGCTCGCTTGCGTGTGTGAATATTCCCAGACAACTGTTCACACGTACATGTGAGCACACACAAATGTTCCTATATGCATATACATACAGGTATTAAAGAATAGCAACATGTAAAACACGGAGGATTTTATTAAATCATTTGGAGGTGGGGAAAACAGTGGAGTTTTGGAGGAAGCTGGTGAAAAACCTTTCCATAGGTCTGTATATGGAAATATTCTCCCTGCTTCCACTTCTTCAGGGTTTTTTAAATGTAATTAAGGTACTTGTTAATATTTCATGTTGTCCCATGGACAGCATTTGTGCAGAGAACACAAGGGAGAAAATGTGCCCCTGTCTAAACACTGATGCTTGAAATCTCTCTGCAGCCAGTAAGGAGCTCAGCTGTGCTTGATAACAAGCTAAAATGGCCAGATTCACCTAAAAAAAAAAAAAAAGAGTTTTGGCAAAGGTCCTTCAGAGAGGCAAAGAGACAGAATAGCTCCTTGACCAGAGCCCTCAATTGCCCTGAAATATCTGCCCCGATTTCAGGTGAAAATGCAGCTAGTTGGTTGTATTTTTACCTAACCTTCATTATATCACATAGCAGGAAGTAATTTTCATTCCTGATGGAAAAATGCATGAAAAATAATTGAGGCACTGCAAAATGACTGCAAACGCCTACGAGAGACTAAAAATATGCACCATTGTCAATACGAACTGCATCGGTTATTATTTCTGTACTGGAGAATACTGTTCTGTACTGTCTGTTTCTGGAGTTTGAGAAATGATAATTTCACATTACGCTGAAGAGTCCAGAATCTCTACACAAAATACAAATCCTTTTAGCAACTAAACAGTACATATTCTTGTCAAACTGTTGTTTTCTATTTGGTAGGAGATAGCCATGTTATGAAGAGAGCCTTGGCAATAGCTACTTTCCATTTGTGTTTTCCCAGCTACATTCTCTTTTTTCATCCAAAGCTTTTGCTTGGCTGAGTTCGACTTTTTCTGTACTTCTCAATTTTTTTTAGCTGGATGTTTGTAAGCGACTGTTTTGGATTGTGCTTATCTCCACATTGTTGCCATATCATTTGGATTTCTTGACCTTGGCATCCTGTCTCTGGGAAGACTGTGATATCAGCTCGAGGTGTCTTATCTCCACACAGTTTACGACTTCTTGGCCTCGGCATGCTGCCTCTGGGACCCAAGCAATGCTCAGCAGCGCCTACCAAGCGGCGCTTACACTCGAGTCGGGTAAAGGGGAGCACCAGAGCGCACAGCACGTATGAAAGTGGGTGGACACATCAAGAACTGGGACATAAAAAGGACTGCGTATTCCTGCCGTGCGTGCGGCTTCTTTCCCTGAACTCTCCTTTGAGAGATCATATCCTGCACTGAGGCGGAGCCAATGAAGCCTAGCTGGACTGGTGGTAACTAATCTTGCTGCATCTCTCCTGCTTGCTTGCTTATCTTTCTTTTTCCCTTCTTCTTCTCTCCATCCTATTGCAGTTATGAGAATAATGCTTACAAGGTTGTATGGCATTTGACTCATGTGTGTCTTAATCTCACTCTTGGGATCATATCAAAACCTCCCCGAACAGTGGATTGGGGCATTTTTATTGGTGTCACGGACAGGATCCCTGGAGACAAGAATGCCAGACTACCTTGTTATGAAACTTTTATGTTAGTATAAGCCGTGGTCTCCTGAGAGCGTATAGGAGAAATCTGGATGTTAAGGTGTGATCCTCTCAGGACAATAAACCCTCTGTAGAAAAGCTTCTGTGATAGTATAAGGTGTGGTCTCCTGGGAACATATAGGGGAAACTTGAATATTGAAGTGTGACCCTCTCAGGACAACAATCCCTTTGTAGAAAATGGCCGCCCATCAGGCAGCTGATGCTTGTGGTTATGTGCCCTCAGGGGTTGAAGAAATTGAGAAATTATATGATCTTTTAGAGGAGCACCGATCTTGCCCCTCATCCCAGGGACGAGATTGGGCAAAGAACCACTGGTTTCAACTGCAGAGTGTGGTAGATAGGATAAGAGTGTTGCAGAAGGAGGCTAAGGCTAAGAGGAGGAAGGGAAAAGCTATAATTTCTGCAGTGCTGGGAGCAAGTCTGGCAGCTGCGGTGGAAGAGAGAAAGCAGTTTTGTCAAGCTGATACTGTAATAGATTCCCTGCAGGTGGCAGTAAAGGCTCTGCAGGAACAGTTAAAGGAGAAGAAACAACTGTTGGAGGAGAAGAGGGTCCAAAACATGATATTAAAGAAAGAGTTGAGGAATCAGCTTCTGAAGGAAGTACATACACCATCAGAAGTAAAAATGATGCATGCAGAGAAAGGGGAACGGGAAATTTATCCCCAGGAAGATTTACAGAAGGCCAAAGAAGTTGTAGAAAGTCCCGTCCCTAAGTATTTGCTGATTAAAAGGGAGTATGTGTACGAGGACGATAGCACTGACTGTCCTCAGATTATCACCAAAAAAGTCCCATTCACTGCAACTGAATTAGCAAAGCTGAGAAAAGATTTTGCAAGAACTGCAAAGGAATCAGAGACAGAGTATGTGTGGAGAGTGTCTTTGTCAGGAGGGGATGAAATCTTGTTGTCAGAGAAAGAAGCAGAAGGATACTGGGGTCCAGGTGTGTTTCTAACCACCGGTGATCGCCGAGCTCCATGGTCATTGACTCAAAGAGCTGCGTACTGGGCTGGGGGGCTGAACCCCTTGGAAAGGGGAGATCCCCTTGCCATAACGGGGACGGTGGATCAGTTAGTGGAAAGTGTGCAGACGGCAGTTTGTCTCCAGATGATGTATGATCGGGAGCTGAAGCCCAACCAGGGTTCCCTTATGATGCTGCCTGTGGACCCAGAGAGGATGACTCCCCTGATACGAGGGCTTCCTGACTCCCTGAAACCCATTGGGATTCAATTACAAGGGAGGATTCAAAACATCCTCGATGGAGAAAGAATTACGGCCGCTCTGGAGGGGATAGTGACCCCTGACTATTGGCAGCCAGGGAGGAAAGTATGGACATGGCGGGAGATAGCCCAGGAGTTGATTAATTTTGAGAGAAAATATGTCCCTGTTGATGGATTGTCCCAAAGAACTGGAACAAGGGCTGTAGGGGCTGCAGAACGGATTAGTGGGCAGCAGTCAGTCCCTGGGAAGGGCCGAGACTTGGGGTCGATCCGAGGTCATAATTCTGGGAGAGAGAGACCCCTAACTCGACAGGGGCTGTGGCGGCTAGGGCTTCAGAAAGGTATTCCCCGGGATTTGATGGACGGACTACCGACCAAGAAATTAGAACAACTAGTGCAGGAATGGTCAGGGCAAAGGGCTGCTTTCAAACCAACCCCCAATGCGCCCCCCTTAATAGACCTTGAGGAGGAGCTGGCTGAGAAGAAGGCAATGGTGGCAAACTAATCCCTCTGCCCACCGAGGATGAGGGGGGAGGTGGAGGATGGATGTTTGTAAGACAACTGACCTGCAATACCAAAGGGGTTTTATTGATTATTGTTGCTGTAGGACCAAGGAAAAGACCAATAAGCTTTTTAATTAATACTGGGGCACAAATTACCATGCTAATGCAGACCAAAGCAGAACAAGGTGCAATCTCGATTCCATCTAGAAATCTAATTTTTTAAATGGCTTGGGAAAAACGCAGTCGGTGCCTATGACTCCAGTGACACTGGTTACCAGCAGAGGAAGACCCCGTCAACACCATGGTGGCCATAGGATCTTTGCAGATCAATCTTCTAGGCATAGATATTTTGAAGGGTAGGCAATGGCGTGATACCCGGGGAAACTCATGGTCTTTTGGTATTCC